GACGTTGTTCGCGGGGCCGCTTCGCTTGTCTTCTCATTGTTGCCGGCTCTTTCTGCCTCTGGCGCAACCGCTGCGAGGCGGTTGCAGCGGGCCGCTGCCGCCGCGTGCTCTACCCGATCCTAGAACGATTGCACTCGGAGCTGCTGTCTGTTTTGTCGGAGGAGTTCTTCCTCGATGAAAATGAATTTCTTCGGCACTGGTCTTGCCCTTTTGTGTCGGTCTATGACGGACGAGTAAAACTTGTCTTTCGGCCGGCCTGGTATTTGTAGGCTGATCTGTCGATGCGCCGGCAGAAATGGCATGCCAACATGTAAATATGCAAAATGTACATATTTATGTTTTATTTGTATCTCTTGTTTACCTCGAAGTTTTTTTTTTCGTGGTTTTGTTTGTGTGAACCATCGAATGTACATGTTCTTTCAACGTCATCTCATATCCATGTTCATGTAAATGACGTCTGTTTTGTCATCATCGTTAGAGTGTGTCTAAGAAGGAAATGTTCTGTACAGTGTTATTGACGTTTGTGGCAATACATTTTTTCTAAACAAACAGAACAATCGTTACCAACTTTTTCTAACCCCTCCCCCTCATGAAATCGCCGCCCACGGGACGGCTTTATGCTCTCCCATAGTATAGTTCTTAGTACTACTCTAAATCATTAACCACTTTTTAAATGCGAAGCGTTTCGTAGCGAAATTCGGTGACTTTGAGCGTATCTATCTATCTATCTATCTATCTATCTATCTATCTATCTATCTATCTATCTATCTATCTATCTATCTATCTATCTATCTATCTATCTATCTATCTATCTATCTATCTATCTATCTGTCTGTCTGTCTGTCTGTCTGTCTGTCTGTCTGTCTGTCTGTCTATCTATCTATCTATCTATCTATCTATCTATCTATCTATCTATCTATCTATCTATCTATCTATCTATCTATCTATCTATCTATCTATCTATCTATCTATCTATCTATCTATCTATCTATCTATCTATCTATCTATCTATCTATCTATCTATCTATCTATCTATCTATCTATCTATCTATCTGGCCGCTTACGACTTTTAGCTCTCCTGGCCGTTTCGATAATGGTATCCATACCAAACTTGTCATGGCATAACATGACTGTATAAGGAACATGTCTGACTAGTCACAACATGAAAACCATGACATGTATGCCATGATTTACATGCCATGGTCCTGAAGCTCTTGCAGTGGTTTCGTTCATATGGCATATTGCAAAACTGGTATGGTATGACATGATTGCATGGCGAACACAAGCGGCAGACTCTAACATGAAAATAATGACATGCGTGTTATGTAACATGACTACATGCCACGCTCATGATGCGCTCGTGGCCGTTTCGCGAGCGCCACATTTACCAAATTTGGTATTACGGCACGTGAACGGATGATGAAGGTATGTGACTGGTGCAAACATAATTATGAGTTGCGTGTCATGTAACATGACTACATGCCACGCTCATGATGCGCTCGCGACCGTTTCACTAGCTTCACGTGTACCAAACTCGGTATTACGCGATGCGAACAGACGACATAGGTAAATGACACATCCAAACATGATAAGACATGCATGTCATGTAACAACATGACTACATGCCACACTCATGATGCGCTCGCGGCCGTTTTAGTAGCTTCAGATATGCCGAATTTGGTATTACGTGACGCTAACAGACGACATAGGTAAGTGACACATCCAAACATGATAAGACATGCATGTCATGTAACAACATGACTACATGCCACACTCATGATGCGCTCGCGGCCGTTTCACTAGCTTCAGATATGCCGAATTTGGTACTACGTGACGCCAATGAATGACGAAGGTATGTGACTGGTGCAAACATGATAAACATGAGATGCATGTTATGTGTGAACATGGCTACATGGCACACTTAAGGCGCCAATACATTTCGACGTGATGCAGTGTGCGTGCTCACCGGCGTGCATATCATTGCGTCACGCCGGCGTTGCCACGCCAGGCGCCGGTCCTGCCATATACTCGCAGTCTCGCGCCGCGCTGCGTTGCTTTGACGCATGCGCGCTTCAACGCATCCGGCGTCCCTCCGTCACGAAAAGAGGGAGACGCAGTATTGTCTGGGTAACGCATCAGCGCGAAAAGCAGCATGTGGCATTTCGCACCAGTTGCAGTCGGGCCGCGCCGATGGACGTTGGTCGCGCCTGGCGCCAGACTATAGAGTGCTCGCGTTTTGCTAACGTAGCGTCGCTGTGCCCAGAGTGCGGGCGCGTCAACGCTACATCGGAGTGTATTGGGCCCTTCATGGTGCGCTCGCGGCCGTTTTGCTAGCTCCACATATACCAAATTAGGTGTTACGTGACGTCAATAGATTGCGAAATATATGAATGGTGCAAACATGATAATCCAGACACGCGTATCATGTAACAACATGACAACATACCACGCTCATAGTGTGCTCGAGTTCGTTTTGCTAGCTCCACATGTACAAAATTTCGTATCACGTGACGTGAGTAGGTGATGATGGTAAACGACAAATCCAAACATGATAATTATGACACGGAAGTCACGTACGGCATCATTTACCTCCACCTCGTAACGTTGTGCCGATTTCAAAGTGACATATCAACCTTTCACATTCATGCTTCGCATATCATCGATTCCCACTGTACGTGGGATCTGCCAATTTTTTTTTATAGAATAAATCTTCCCCTGCTCGAAGCACCAGCTCTTGTGAAAAGCTGGCATACATTTCAGACATTTATTACCGCTCAACCCTGTCAGACTGTGAAGCTGACTCCTCGATTTGTTAAACCGGAAAAGGTTCTTTTGATTACATAAGTTTGATGTTACTGCTGAACAACCCCGAGTGGAACCGAAAGATTTTCCGGGGGTGACGGTGGAACGCACTTTTGTCTGTCAAGTAGTACGGTGGTCTGTGCGTGCGCGGTATCCCTATAAATAGGAAGAGTTGCTCCCTAGTGCCCTTAGATTTGCGTTGCGTTGCTACAAAACAGTAGCGCTAGGTGCCCCTTAGCGCTTGGATAAGGGGCGGTGGGTGATAGGTGTCTGCGACAAGCTGTGTGTGCGCATTCATCACGTAAGCCTAGGAGCGCAAGCCTTCGTGCGTGGATGCGTGTTTGTACGTTTCGGTGTTTTGTCTTCTTTTTTTGCGCTGCTCCATATTTATTATTTCATCAGAATATTTACGGAATGCGACTGTGACTAACACTGGAAATAGGGCGACATTTTCGTCTCACACAACTTAGAGCATATCAGCAAAATATTTGAGTTTTAATTCTTTGTTCTGTATGGAAAAATAAACAGTGTTCTTCCTGTAATAAATATATATCTGCAACCATATGCTACATATTGTGCATTTAGCTTAAGCAAACTATCATAAACAAGCGTTGTATACCAATTCTGAGCAGACGACAATGAACGTCTGTGGCAACTAATGATGACACATGATCGAAATGCAAAAAAATGCCCAAATTCTGTAATTGATTGGTGGAGAATGTGTACATGCATATACCACAAAATGTGGTGCACAAATAATTCTTCAGTCGTGCAGAGCTCATTAGAGGTCGCCTTAATCAGTTCCTTAGCGCAAAACTTACTTTGACGAATATACTGCCTTATTTTTTTTGTAAAATGTTTTATTGGTGCTATCGCAAACACACCTGAGAAGAGGTCATGTAATAGTACAAATTGTCCTCAAATAATCAAGTAGGTAGACACGTGGATCGGGAGATAATTAAAGCAAGACCTAATACCTCGCAAAACAGACTAACACAGTTTACAGAAGGCAGAGCTGCACTCGTAGCCACGATGTCTTACTTGCACGTACTCTACCAGAATGGATGCAGATAATCGCGAGAACACACCGCACGTAATCGACAAGTCTCCATATTTACGAATTACGGTGAGCAGTATACTACAGGTCCCTGTTCGTACAGCCCTCATTGCCATTACTGAGGAGCACCCGCCGCTACCCCTATGAAGCAAGTCAACACCAATCCAATTGCACCAGGAAGGCAAACGAGATTGCTAGTTAGACCGCGCATGGGCAGAAGTTGTCTGTATCTGCCGGTGCGCTCCGCGAGCGAGCGGCTGAGTGTTCGGCGTTCTGAATTGTTCTGAGAGCGCCTGTACATTGGTTCGCCCAAATGTCTGTAAAAATCACTATATTGAGAAAACGTGCATGGAAGTTCAGTGGCTGGACTAACTAATAGGAAGTTTTTGTGCTCACAACAAACAAATTGAACATGTCAAAATCGACGATTCAATGCGTCGATCACTGGTGATCGATTTGAATAGGCGTGGTACGTGACGAAAAAGTCGAGTCTCTGTCCTTTTCAGATGAAGATGTACATATTTCATTTTCACCAGTCGGGAACAAATAATCGTGTACGCCCTAGTACACGCCGTCAAAATTCATGATGTCACAGCGTAATGCGATGAAAGTTGAAGGTGGTGTAGCCACCTGTCCCTTTCCCTTGTCTGCAAAACACCTCACATTAAGATCTGCAGAAACAGTCTCATTGCCTCCTTCAATGAAAACACCCTTCAGGCATACCAGGGGCATAGTCAAAATTTTTTTTCGAGGGAGGGGGGCACCATCTTGAAATGGTCATTTTTCACTCTATATGCCATGACGAAAAAAAAATTCTGGGGAGGGGGTGCACGGGCTCAGTGTGCCATCCCCTGGCTACGCCCCGAAGATATAGCCCCAGGCTTGCCCAGACCCCCACCATCCTGGTCCCCACTACACATAACAAGAAAATTCATGGTTGCCAAAGTTGACCGGCTGCGTTTGAAGTAGCGCATTACATCTCATTCTATTAAGCTATCCCTTGTTATAGCAAATAAAGTTTTTTCATTCCATTCCATTCCCTTGTTATAGCTGTTGTGAATGCAAATAATGCTGACACATAAGGCAAGCATCACATGGTCAAGAACATAATTTTTATTGGTGCCATTTCTTTTTTTTTTTGCAGGAGCACACAGCTTTGAGAACTGCTAACACAGTTTCAACATTTTCTAATTTATATTATTGGCACTTTTCACAATTCCTTCTTTTAAACTTTGTAAAAACTTTCTCGCATGTAAGGACTATCGCCTTGCCTGAAATATCTCGTTTCGCTTGCTACATAGGGCTGTCTCTGAAGTACTCAGCATGCCAATCCCGGTTACGTCAAACTTATTCATGCCCTAAACATAGTTCTGATATTTAAAATAATGTTGATATATAGGAACATGAGTACGTGGAACAGAATTTATAATTATAAACTTTATGGAGGTCTGCTTTTTAGGTGAAGACCAGGTGTTTTCCAGTGCGCGTAATGGTTGATATGTATGCGAGTAAAGCCAACATTTTGGAATTGAGGTCTATGGTTGCTTATTTGTGCTCAGCTAGCGGGCATCTTGCCATCACTTCGAATTCTTTTTGCTCTTGCTCCCAACAACTTGCCCACCTACTCCAATGTATTGGTGGGTGGAAACTGCATGCGATTACTGCTCTGTGGGACTCTCTCGCATGTTTCACGTCGTGGCACCAGTCTGTACATCCCATGTTCACTATGGTCTATTGGCGGAAGTTCAGGCAGTGGTTAGTTAATAACAATCATCTGATTTATTGCAACAAGTCAGTTGTGAAAGGTGCCTAGGTTCATTCGTTGTGAAGGTAAATTCGCTGTAGTCGTGCTTGTGGTGGAGGCATTCATATTGCAATGCATTTGATCGTACCGAATCAATTGCTAATAGTGCTAATAATTTTGTAGCCAAGGCAGGCACATTGCTAGAAAATGATTAGAAAGTCTTGTGCTCAAAGCCCTGACTATCTCATGGTAAGCATGACAGCAATCAACAGCCCTTTTCCTCCGTCTCTTTCAACAACCTAAACAGCATAAATCAAGAAGTGCAAGAATTTAAACCAACTACCACTCCTGGCCAAGACAACAGAAAAATGGGACCCTGTTTTGTATGCACATATGTGAATATGAGATAAGCTGGTGGTAAGGCTAAACTTCCAGTCCATGAGCAAGGCTAATAGTGTATTAGGTGCTCGTTGATGTCAACCTTGTTCCGTCTGTCAGCTACTACCCCATTGGCTCTCTTTGCAAAAGTTGTCCTTCTAACCCTACCAATTTTTTCACTTTGCTTTCCACATACTGTGTATTCACACTAAACAGATAAAAAAAGACCCAAGTGCACAAAACAAGCACTGCATATCTGCTAATGTGCATTGATATAACAGGCAGATATTATTTGCCTTACAAATTCCAATGCCAGAATATAAGTTTCTTCTTTTCAGGTATTTAAGTAAGGGGAAATTGAAGCTGAGCAGCAGTCAAAGCATCTGAGCTTAGCGAAAATCCTACAGCTTCTTTCAAGATGCCCATACCTGAAATGTGCCAAAAGATACACTGCCATTCAAGTTGACACTTTGTGTAAACCATCTAATGGTTCGGACTAACTACTCATTTTGACACAGATTCTCAGTGAGATGCAGTGCAGCATAAGCCTGCATGGTCCACATACCAATTCAACACAAAACACTGACAAACTGGCTCACATCTTTAATTTGAAAAACAAACATATAAAACAGTATGCACAAACATTACATATTTCAGCTCTGTGGCTGCTTCTGTCACATGTGCCGCCGTGTGTGGCTACTTGTGATGCAAAATAAAATATGACTAGCTACTGACACCGTGCAGCTGCTAGTATACGTCTTCCAACATCTTAAAATATTGCATTTCAGCCTATTTGAGTAGTAGTAAGCAGCACGTATTGGACATCCAGGAACTTATATGCATGCTAAAAACCTATCCTAAAAGTAACGGTAACAGAATCGAGCCCTATGAACAACACGGCCCTGTTTCGAAACTTGTACACTAGTCAACACATGCACGACACGTCACGGTTCGGCAACTTCTGCAACAAGAGAAACCACCACGGTCTAGATAGCGCCACGTGGTTGTACAGTATGATGGCTCTCAGGGACAACAGCAGCACAGATCTACATTCATTCCAGACTCAAAACTAACACTGCGTGCCAATGATTGCACACGTGTCATGCTACAGCTACATAACAGACATCATGCACCATTGGGTGTCTCCGGGAAGGAGACTACAAATGCCACAACTTTTTTTTTTTTTTCCTCCGCAAAAGCAGCCACTGGTGGGGAGGGAGGCTGCTGCTGTGCCACGAAAGACTGACGTACGGGCATGACAACTTTGAGAACCTGAGTGCAGCTGCCATCACCAACCTGTTGCGCTTTGCCAAGTATTCGCAAAGCCGCTTCGTAAAGGGATCGAGGGATGCAGTGGCATGCTGCTGAGATTTCCAGCTGCCCTCTGATCACCGTCTCCTGTGTCGTGTTGATGGGACATTTGAAAACAGTGGGCCGTTTTTTCCCCAGATGAAGGACGATGTAGTTTTTGTCTTTTGTGACTGAGGGAGTAGACTTTGCTGGTTGATGGCTGAAAGGAGTCACAATGCACTGGGCTCGGCCCAGGAGACTTTCAAAAGATGTCTGGGCAAGAGGTGAAGTCGCGGTCCCAGTACTTGTCGTTGAACTGCCATTCGTCCTCGTGTGAGTGTGCTCCCTTAACGTGGCGAAACCATCTGACAAAATAAAATTAAAGAAGGACATTAATATCAATAACCACCAAAGGTCTTGCGCTCATAATTCGTTGAATATGTACCAGAGCATATGCTCAAACCACCTGTTGCCCATGTTAGGTATTGTGCTCAAGCTGAAGAGGTGAAGTATAGACAAGCACTGCACTTAGCTAAGCCCGGAGGCACTTTCTCTACAACCCGAGAAATTTATGTAGATTTAACCCTTGAAAACTACTATGCTTTACCATCACTTTCTGACATACTGCACAGCAGGACAGGACACAAGCAGAGAAAGATGAGACAAACGCTCGCTTCCTTTGTGTCGAATGGTGCAGTTTGTCAGATGATTCCACATGGCATGCTCAGCTTAAGTAAAAACAAGCAGTCACCTCGGCTCCCAGAGGTCCTTGTGCTTCTTGCGATATTTGCGTGCTTCCCTCTGTTTCTCTTCCAAACGATTTTTCTCTGCTGCAGCACCATCTGAAAAAATAGAAATCAAGCAGGATGTGTTTTAAAAACTTGCATCATGACTTATTACCATGCGCATGCTCATAAACTACAGAAACTAAGTCTAGGCCAATGTGCCACATACATAACAACAACAACAACAACAACGAAATCCGTGTTATAAGAAATCCTAGTTATAAAACAAACCATAAGATAATTGACCATTGTTTGCTGGAAGTTTCCTTATACTAGTCTCATTTTATCAAGGAAAAGATTTACCATAAGACAATATACTGCCACTTGTATTCACAAAGCAAACTTACTACAGTCGACTTTCGTTAATTCAAACACGAAGGAACCTCTGAATTTTGTTTGAAATATCAGAAGTACTTAGTTACACTTACTTCATGATTAGGCATTGATCTTATCAGATTTAAAAATTTTTAGAGGGTCTTTACACCTTAACTGCATGCAATGAACAGAAAGCAGAGGTGTAAGAGCCACTAGTTTATCAGCCAATTACTGCTGATCAAACCATTTTAAGAAATCGTCAGTTGCCAACTGCTTCTTTGCTATATGTGCCTTCAGCACAAAGCTCTCTATACCAGTTGAGAAGCATCACGGTTTACCATGTGCGTGCTTATTTTTCATTTCTAGATTGTTAGAATTATATAAGCATGCAAATTTTTAAACAGCAGTGGGAAAGCAGCAGATATTTTTTTTTTGGAATGGAACTGCAAAAAGTATGAATTAACCGATAGATGGAGTTAGTATTAAGAGGCTTTTAAATGCATTGAAAGAATAGAGACCCAACCAAAATATTGAATTTTGTTTGAATTAACTGAAAGTATGAATTATCAGAGTTTGAATTATCGCAAGTCTACTGTAATTGTTTTAGAACAATTACAATCTCGAAATATGGCAGTTCTGAATGCTGCTAATTACTTTTCGAACATAATAAACAATAAATCCCATGATTCGCTGCATTCCTGGCAACATGTAAATGTTAGCACAGCTAGAGCACACAAGAATAAAAAATTAGACACGCTATGTGCTACAGGCTGTATGTAGCAACACTCACTGTGCATCATTCTCCTTCTTTCTATTGTTCTGTCAAGTTACCCTACTCAACCTCATGCGTAGTATGTGCCATCCAACTACTGTACAAACCAAAATATAAGTCGAACTAAAAAAAAAAAGAGAGAGAAGAACAACACGTCTACCCTGGTCTTATATACCGGTCATTGGCAGAAAAATTTTGGAAGTCTGGCCACTATGGGCAACTGATGTCAACTGCACCTATCGTCATCACAATCATTCATTGCCGCTCTGGTTCAAGCCTTGTGCCATGGGCGGCCTCATTTTGCGTTTTCGTTGCCCTGTAAATTCACCTGGGCTGTGAGCTGCTTTCTTCTGGTTCTCAACCAGCTGCCAACAATGGTTCACCACACCATTTAAGAAAATAGTGATCAAGTTCACCAAGGCACGAAGAAATCTAGTCTGAAGTGTGTTGAAAATGTGCTGGGATGCTAACGCACGTGAACATCGGCAGGAGCAGCGAGTCACAAGCAATAACTGAAAGTTTATTTTTGCACAGCTGTTCTCTCGGCCTAAATCTCGCCGGATACTCTTTCCCAGTTGCTCCCTGCAATGCTAGCAGCTCTGATTACAGCGGCATGTATGGCCATGATCAGCAGGCAGAAAGAACGCACCACAGAGACACTCAGTGCTGTCGAGCGCTAAAGAATCACATCACGACACGTAGCCATCAGAACTTTCTGTGCTAGACCGCAATGTATCTTTCCATGACAACTTCCCGTGGCAGCACAGCCAAAGCTACGTGCGCGAAGCTTCTGCACATGTGTTACTACGCCAAGTAGTCCATTTGCAGAAAATTTTGGTTTCGCAAGCCCATCCAAAATGTATGTTTTCGCAGGAGCATTCAAGGTTTATTATGCTATTTGGAAAAGTGTTTCAAAAGATAGGTTACATATAGCTTAAGTCGAAAGCTATCACAAGCCTTGAGATGCTCATGGATGTACCAGAGAAAGAATAATACATGGAATCATTGCTGTGCTTTCTCACAACTTCTAATATATTACTGCCAGCGGCTCAAGCCCGCATGGAAAGTGAGATTCATACAATAATGCTTGCATTTATATTCATTTTTCTTCAAAGCAATGAAATACTCATATTAGGAGGAACACGGGTAGCAGCTTTAGGGAAACGACAAGATTTGTTTTTGAAAAAAAAGGGGGGGGGGGGGGGGAGCGGCCTGGGCACAGCTGTGCAGGAACAGTGTGATAAGGAATGGAACGCAATGGCAAGAAACCATGTCCTGAATTTCAGTGAACACAGGGCCCATATCGTCGTTTCCTTCTTTAGGAGACGCAAGAACTTTCTAGAGATGCTCAGGTTGTTGTTTTTTTTTTTTGTAGACGTGAAACGAAGGCATCGACAGGTTGCAGGTATCTTGGCCACGACGAGCCACATGCAGGAATGGAGCGGACATCTCATGTTCGTAAATACAAGCGGGCGAAACACACTCTTTACTTGATCAAGAACGCTCTTTTTGTGCAGTCAGCCACATAATAGACATGAACGCTCCTGTTGCCCAGGCGGAGCTTTGCACTGGTCATTTTATTCTTTCAAATCGCTGTCACCACAAAGCGCCAGGAACCACTCCCGTCATAGATGATGACGGGTACGGTATTACAGTATGTGATCTTTAGCATGATTCCATCGGAAATAGAAGGCAACCCAAATATTGACGACGTATGGAACACAATTAATGAAAAGGGTCATTGCTTTTACATACAGTTTCCTATCGCTAATTTGCTTTCAAGCAGCTGGTCCTGCTGAAGACTGACAGGCCGCTGGTATCATATTCAAGATGACTATTTGTTGAGAGACCCACATGCACTGATGGTATCACTCACACACGCACTTTCTTTCTTGATGACTGCACAAGTAGGGAACGAAATATTTGACAATGCACCGCTATATTAATTTCTATCAGCTCTATGAATACAGATCACCAGAAAAACATGCACTCATGCTCGCTCGCAAGCTTCAAGGTGTATTGTAGTTGCTTTCACTTGCTCCCAGGCACAAGCCAAAATGTAGATAGCTGCCAATAAGTCTATGCTGTAGAATTTCTCGCTGCCTGCTCTATGCAGCATTTGATGGAGCAATTGTCTGCGGTAATGAACTTTATTGTTCTGAATAACCTTTACCAACACGCCCAAAAAATGGCACTGCTAAAATTTATTTCAAGGTGAACCTGCTGCAACCGAACGATGCCATTGTTGTTTACTGAGGAAGGAAAAAGGTGAAATGACACCAGAAAACTAGAAAAGGGAAACATAAAAATGCACTATGGAATTAGCTTTGTTGACAACAATAAGAACAGTCTTGAGCATAATAACTATATATCTTTTGTTTTTATATTTTTCTTTGTGCTACGTAGTACATAAAAGTTTCCGTTCGCGAACTACATGCACAAGCGTAGTAAAGAATTGCGTACTTTGGCTTCGTAGCCTTGGCTGTGCTGCCACAGAAAGTTGCCACGAGGTATAGAGCTGGAGACGAAGGTTGCAGAGTTCAAAGAGGAATCCCAGTGATTTCTTCTACATTCACTCATCTCAGTAAATGTTTTAATATATCTGTTTTTTTTTTGGCACACTGATGAATTGTGCCAAATGTAATGTATACATGACATTTATTCTTCTCAAAAATGAAGTTAGCAGATTGGCTGCAATTCATAAATTGTACCGTCGAGTATAGGAAATCTTGTGTTTGTGATAGAGTCCACTTCAACGAGCCAACAATGAATCTGGCTCTTTTTTCTTCAACGAGATGAAGACGACAGACTACACTGTCAGGCAGGCACTCTTCTTCAGTTTTAGACGCTGCATCGTACATTGTAAAAACTTAAAAACTTACGGGTGTGTGTGATTGTCTCTACAGTGCTTACATTAAAGTGAGGCTGATTGCGACGTCAACGTAGAAAATTCATGAAGCAGTTGGCTGTTAGAAAATTCAGTATTGACAATTTTTTTTAATTTAAAATTACTGGTGAGCTCCTGAGCAAACTGAATGACTCTGGCTATTACAGGACCATTAACCCCTTAAGAGCTCATTTAACAAAAAAAAATTACAGTCGACTCCTCTTAAACAGAACTCAAAGGGGATCCATAAAACTGTTCCATTTATCAGAAATTTCATTTAAGCAAAGTACACTTATTTAGTGAACCAAGATCTTTATTCAAATAGCACAAACCTCACCTTACTCATGAAAATGAGTAGGAGAAAAAAAACGGAGCGAAGAGAGGTTTGTTTGGCAAGCTTGAGTTGTTTTTCACAAGGCACACACCCATGCCTGACAAACTAGCTAGAAATTCTGGACAAGCCTCATGCTCAAAATAGCACTGCAAAAGTTCAACAGCCTCTTTAGCTGATCGGTCTGGTGGCACCGCTGAACTGGCAGTATTGTCATCACATTCATCGCTGGAAGGTTGATTCTGATCTTGCACTTCGGCAATCATTTCATCGACAGTCTCTTCACGACAGGTACAAACATTTTCATCAATTGATTCGTAGTCCTGCAGCGTGAAAGGGGCAGAAGGTACGACCTGACTGAATACTGTCTCAATGTCGGCATCAGCAAGGCTTTCTTCTTCATCAGGTACTGCTTTCTTGCGCTTGAAAGCCAGCATGGTGAAAGCATCTGTGTATTGTAGTTGCTTTCACTTGCTCCCAGGCACAAGCCAAAATGTAGATAGCTGCCAATAAGTCTATGCTGTAGAATTTCTCGCTGCCTGCTCTATGCAGCATTTGATGGAGCAATTGTCTGCGGTAATGAACTTTATTGTTCTGAATAACCCCTTGATCCATTGGCTAGATCAATGCCGTTGCATTGCCTGGCAAGAACTCCAGAGTGATAGCTTGGAGTACTTGAACCTGATCGTGGGCTGGGCAATTATCCATGATGAAGACAACCTTCCTGCCTTGCCTCGTAAATCTTGCGTGTT